CTGAAAGACATTTTTTCCCACATACGATATTGGCCAATAAGCACATGTAAAGCTTTTCAACATCATTTGTCATTAGGGAAATGCAAATCAAAACCACCATGAGGGACTTCGCTGGTGGCGCAGTGGTTAAGAATCCGCCTGCCACTGCAGGGGACACGGGTTTGAGCCCTGGTCCGGGAAGACCCCACATGCTGCGGAGCAACTAAGCCCGTGTGCCCCAACTACTGAGCCTGTGTGCCACAACTACTGAAGCCCACGTGCCTAGAGCCCGTGCTCCACAACAGAGAAGGCACCGCAATGAGAAGCCCGCGCACCGCAACAAAGAGTAGCCCCCCGCTCGCCGCAACTAGAGAAAGCCCGTGCGCAGCAGCGAGGACCCAACACAGCCAAATATAAATATGTTAAAAAAAAAAAAAAAAAAACCACAATGAGATATCACCTCACACCTGTTGGAATGGTTACCATGTAAAAGACAAGAGATAACAAGTGTAGGTGAGGATGTGGAGAAAAGGGAAGCCTTGGGCACTGTTGCTAAGAATGTAAATTGGTGCAGCCACTGTAGAAAACAGTATGGAGTTTCCTCAGAAATTTAAAAATGGAACTACCATATGATCCATCAATCCCACTTCTGGGTATATATCCAAAGAGGATGAAATTATCATCTCAAAGAGATATCTGCACCCCCATGTTCATTGCAGCATTGTTCACAATAGCCAAGATAGGGGAGCAACCTAAATGCACACTGATGGATGAATGGATAAAGAAAATATGGCACACGCGCACGCACACACACACGCGTGCGCACGCACACACACACACACACACACAATGGAATATTATTCAATCACAGAAAAGAAAACATCCTGCCATTTGCAACAACATGGATAGAACTTGAGAGCGTTATGCTAAGGGAAATAAGTTAGACAGAGAAAGACGAATACTGCATGGTCTCACTTATATGTGGAATCTAAAACATTGAATTCATATAAACAGAGAGTAGAATGGTGGTTGCCAGGGACTAGGGGGTGGGAGAAATGGGGAGATGCTGTTCAGAGGGTACAAACTTCCAGTTACAAGGATAGGTTCTGGGGAATCTAACGTACAATATGTTGACTGTTTAACAATATTATATTGTTAGCATTTGAAAGTTGCTAAGAGAGCAAATCTTAACTGTTCTCACCACAAAAAAAAGGTAATTACGCGAGGTGATGGATGTGCTAACTAACCTTATTGTAATCATTTCGTAATACGTGTGTGTACTAAGTCATCACATTGTACACCTTGAACTTACACGGTGTTATTTGTCAATTACACCTCAATAATGCTGGGGCAAAAAACAAACAGGCAAAGGGCAGCCTGTCTCACTTCGCCCCCAGCTTGTAGATTAAAAGATCGTGTGTCTGTCAAGCCAGGTTCTGCCTTCTGGTCAAATTCCACCTCACTCTGTGATCAACACAGCGATGAGTGAGGGAGATGCACAGTCTGGGGAAACCATGGCCAGCAGACCCCAAATGTCCCTCCCACCTTCCACAGCAGCAACCTGTGTTCCTAGCCTTCCTGCAACCCTCCCCACGTCCTGAGGTCTCAGCAGCCAGTCTCTCTGGCTCTCACAAAACCATAAAAATAAGGACTCCCCTGGTGGCGCAGTGGTTAAGAATCCGCCTGCTAATGCAGGGGACACGGGTTCAAGCTCTGGTCCAGGAAGATCCCACATGTCGTGCAGCAACTAAGCCCGTGTGCCACAACTACTGAGCCTGTGCTCTAGAGCCCACCAGCCATAGCTACTGAGCCCACGTGCCACAACTACTGAAGCCTGAGTGCCTAGAGCCCGTGCTCCACAGCTAGAGAAGCCACCGCAATGAGAAGCCCACGCACCACAACAAAGAGTAGCCCCCGCTCACCGCAACTAGATAAAGCCTGTGCGCAGCAACAAAGACCCAACGCAGCCAAACTAAGTAAGTAAAATATAAATAAATTTATATAAAAAAACCCATAAAAATCAAGCCCAACTCCAATCAGAAAAGCATCAACCCTCTGTTAAGTCTCTGATGTCCCAAATATGTCTGGTGAAGTGGTATGTTTCCAATACAGGTTTCACACAGAAGCTTGAGTAACCTTCGTAAAATCAGATCTGATCGTGTCTTCCACTTAAATCACTTTAAGGCCTTAGAAGGGAGAATCACTGCCTACAACAAGGCTTCTGCCAGGGCATACCACAGCCAGTGGGCCAAATGCAGCCAGGCACCTGTTTTTAAATAAAGTTTTATTGGAACATCACCACGTCCACTTATTCAGCTATTGTCTGTGGCTGCTTTTGCTACGATGGCAGAGATGACACAGACCACCTGACCTGCAAAGCCTAAAACATTTACTATCTGGCCCTTTACAGAAAAAGTGTGCCCATGCCTGGCTTTCCTTGTCTCTTTTTTCATCATTGTTATAAAATATATATAACATAAAATTACCGTTTTAAACATTTTTAAGGGTACAATTCAGTGGCATTAAGTACATTCACATTGTTGTGCCACCATGGCCACCATCCACCTCCAGAACTTTTCCACTTCCCAAACTGAAACTCTACCCAGTAAACACTAACTCCTCATTCCCCTCCTCCAGCCCCTAGCAACCTCTATTCTACTTTCTCTCTCTGTGAATTTGCCTATTCTAGGCACCGCACATCAGTTCAATCATACCATAGCTGTCCTTTCGTTTCTGGCTTAGCTCACTTAGCATAACGTTTTCAAGGTTCATCCATGTTGTAGTAGGTGTCAGAATTTCATTCCTTTTTATGGCTGAATAATATTTCATTGTACGGATGGACCACACTGTGTTCATCCCTTCATCTGCTGATGGACACTCGGGTTGTTTCACCTTTTGGCTGTTGTGAACAGTGCTGCCACCTGCCTAACCCAGGAATCTCTTCTTGCATCACCTGCCTGCTCCCTTAGCCACAAAGGCCTTCCATCAGTTCCTCCAATGGGTCATGCTCCCTTCCTGAAACACCTCCCACCCCTTCCACCATCTTAATCCCTAATTAACCTTCAGTCCAAACAGTTCTGGAAGCCACGCCGACCAAACCCTCCCCAGTCCCCCCACTCACCTCCCTGCCAGTGCAAACTCAATCAGCTCCACAAGCTCTGACAGCATCCTGCACTTTCTCCTGATAGCCTGTAACACTGTTCGTAAATACTGGACATAAGATTATAACACCTGGGGCTTCCCTGGTGGCGCAGTGGTTGAGAGTCTGCCTGCCGATGCAGGGGACACGGGTTCGTGCCCCGGTCCAGGAAGATACCACATACCGCGGAGCGGTTGGGCCCGTGAGCCATGGCCGCTGGGCCTGTGTGTCTGGAGCCTGTGCTCCGCAACAGGAGAGGGCACAACA